TACGCGAGCAGGAAGTTCCTCCTAGCAGAGTTGAACTACAGTGTGACGGACTAGGAGGCTTTAGCCTCAGTCCACGCTGTCCAGTTGTGGAGGTGTTACCTTGAAGGAACACGCTTCAAACTGGTAACGGACCACTGTCCGTTGACCTACCTTAAGTCACAACCACAGCTGAGCCGGAGACAGGCCAGGTGGTTGGAGATCTTACAACAGTTTGACTTTGACTGGGAATATCGCCCAGGACGAAAGAACGTGGCTGATCCACTCTCTCGCATTCCTCCATCGCCGGATGAGCAGGTGGCTAGGAGGAAAAGTCAACTGATTGTATGTGGCTTAAGGGTAGTGTCTAAGCGGGGAAGCCAAAGAGAGGCAGGAGAGACGGTAGAGGCCAAAGATCTAGCTTCTAGGATCCGTCAGGCCTATGGCAAAGATCCCCAGCTTACGTCTGTAAGACAGCAGCAAGAGATGCGCTGTACAGATGGGTTATGGCTGCGAGGCAATCAGGTATATATACCTGCCAGTCTGCAGACTGAGATCTGCCAATTGGCTCATGACCATCCAAGTGCGGGACACTTTGGTCAAGCCAAGACCCTGGACTTGGTCCAGCGGCATTACTGGTGGCCAGGAATGCGACGAGAAGTACAATCGTACATCGATACTTGCCTGGTTTGTCAACAGGTTAAGTATCCTCGTCAAAAGACTCCAGGCTTATTACAGCCATTGGGCATTCCTGGGGAGCCATGGACCGAATTGTCCATGGACTTCATCACTCAACTGCCAAAAACTAAGGGAGGTCATGATGCTATCATCGTATTCGTCGATAGACTGACCAAAATGGTCCGCCTAGCAGCCACGACCACCGAGCTCTCTGCAGAAGGAGTAGCTGACCTGTTGGTACAGAATGTGATAAGGCACCACGGCCTCCCCTCTCAGATAGTGTCCGACAGAGACGTTCGGTTCACTTCCAAGTTTTACCGGTACCTGGCCGAGAGGTGGAAGATTCAGCTCAACATGAGCACTGCGTACCATCCACAGACGGATGGCCAGACCGAAGTCATGAATCGGATTCTGGAGGATTACTTACGCAGCTATACGCGTTCTGACCATGACGGTGGGATGAACTATTAGTCATGGCCGAGTTTGCTATGAACAACTCGAAAAACAGTTCCACCCAAGAGACCCCGTTCTATCTGAATTACGGGAGGCACCCAAAGAGTCCCTTAGCTCTTGGTGTGCAAATTCGGAAGCCTTTAAAGGGCTATGACAATCTGAATGCCCGCGGCTTGGCAGTAGCCATTGAAAGGGCACAACAGCCTTATTTGAGGCAGTCCGGTATACCCCTCATGGAGGGATTACCAGCAGTGACACGATTTGATCACCGTGTCCAATCAGCGCTGAGAGAGGCCAGGGCGTGCTTGGAAAAAGCACGGGATAGGCAGTCGAAGCATGCTGACCGCCATCGGAGGGATGTGTCGTTTAATAAAGGAGATGACGTCCTCCTTTCGACACAACATATCACCCTCAAACACCCTGGAACTCGAAAATTATTACCGAGGTGGATTGGGCCCTTCACCATCCTCGACCGGATAGGCTCTGTCGCATATCGACTAGAACTCCCGGAAAGCGTGCATAGGATACACCCAGTATTTCATGTGTCGAAAATCAAGCCTTATAAGGCAAGTGGCAGAGTACAGCCACCCCCAGTACCTATCGAGATCGAAGGTGAACTGGAGTATGAAGTTGAACGTATCCTTAACAAAAGAATTAAAAAGCGTGGGAGATGCAAAAACTATGTTGAGTACCTTGTCAAATGGCTGGGGTATGGACATGAGCATAACAGCTGGGAATCAGCAAAGTCAGTTGCAAATGCACAGGAACTGGTTCAAGCATTTGAAAATGGCAGAACACCTGTGATGCGAATGCAAACTGCATAAAGTACGGGATGTACATACTGAGACATGCTTATGTGTGACTATGCTTTGACACGTTCTCCTGCGATGGGCCCAGAAGAACACTGGGTACACCGCCCCCCGTGCCAAGACGCAATTTGGACACATGAATACCATGTCCGTTGCGATCTTGAACAGAGAAAGATTGGATCTGGACGACCCGCTCGTGCCGGCACCTCGTGGAGTTGTGCGTGTGCGTGGCCGCGGGCGAGGACGAGGTCCCGCACCGGGCCGGCGCACCCCTGCATGGGCGCTTGGTGGTTCCCACTATAGGGGTCGTAGATCATAGGCCGGGAGGTCGAACATTCCAGCCATTTGGCTGCGGAAGAGTTTTAATGAGGGTTGTGAAGACCGGGAGGTCATGTAAAAATAACCACTCTTTCTCTTCACCACTAATTGTGTAGTGTATAACAACTGGGCATGTGGCAAATCGCACAGCCAGTTCTATTCACCTACACATAAAGTTTCTGCTCCCATATCCACATATTGGGACGAGGACACCCCTCTCCCTGAGGGGGACGAATGTTACGCGCACTAGCCTGATGTGGGGGACGCCCTACTAATGGTCCTTGGTGTGGGGGACGCCCTGCCCAAGATCGTATTGTATTCCTTGTCCCACGGTAACTATTATACTTATATGGATATGGGAGTAAGAGGGGTGGTCCCGCCTAGGTTACCCTGTAAGGACCTAGGTGCCCGGCGAGGTGGGTCCGCGGCTCAAAGAGGGCAGGAACCCCACACCCACAGACTTTTCGTATCAGTTTTTTTTTTTATTTTTTTGGATTTTTTCCCTTTTTTCTGAATTTTTCTTCCTTTTTCCTTAACGAAATTTAACGGACAGCTGATAAAAATTAATGAACCGGATTTAACGGACCGGATGGCACCCTTGAATGGCCACCTCTAATAGGTGTAGATAAAATCTAAGCTGACCTTTCCCATTTACATTGGCAATACCCGCATAATGGCCCGATACAATGGGCATGTGTGCGGTCGCCAACAAGGCCCATGAGCAAATGCCCTAAGTCGTTGGCGCCCAACATCCAACGGCCAGTTGAGGATGTTCCCCATGGGGCGAAGACTGCCCCCTCATGTCCGGTTCTTAGAAATGGTTCCCCAAGACCCTCCGTAGACATGCTGCATTATGCAAGATTGCCGCAAGCGAGCAACCGACAAGGCCACGGCTGGACAAACTGGCAAAGGGCCATGCACAGAGGCCAGGCACATATGCCATTAAAAATGCCACTCCCCCCGGGGTGGCACTCCACCCCACTCACCGATCGGCAGCCCCAAAGGCCGTAGGTCACTGCGTTTGGGGTCAAAGATCATTGGATGGTGTGGGGGGTAGATCAATATTTATAACTAGATAGCTGGAGGTGTATGCAACTCAATAAAAATACCCCCGGGGTATGACAATGGCTACACGCCCTTCCCCGTACCTGCCCACACAACACCCCATATGGTTGCCCGCCCGGGGCTTGCCCACCCCCCTTCCGCCCACGGGGCATGTTTTGCACCTCCCCCGGCTGGTGATACGCGATCCAGCAGGTTGTGCGGGCCGTGCGAAGCGTTGCTTGGAGGATAAGGCCGGTATCCCTGCTGAGCAGGGCAGGCTCGTCTTTGACTGCTTGGGCAAGTCGTGGCGGAGGAGATCCTCAGCGAGCCCGCCGGCTGGCAGGTGGGGACCTGTGCGATGCTGGGCTAGGCACTGGTAGTTGCTTGCATCCAGCGCCGAGCATCCTATCCGGCCAGACCTGAGTTGGCAGACAGGAGCATGGGTCAGAGCCTCTGGGTGGCCCAACATGTGGGATGGAGCATTGGCCCGTGGCTAGAAGCCAGTCGGGCGGTCAATCACTCTGAGGTAGCCGCGGAGCGCGTCTTCTCCTCTTTCCCTTTGCGGATTTGTGCATCTTTGTTTTTGCGGGTGGGGGCAGTGGGTTGGGGTGTGGGCTAGGGAAAGCGTGGGGGATGGGGAGAGACATTGATATGTTGTGAGGGGAGGGGATCCTGGGAGGGGTGGAGGCCACCATGAGCATGGATCGATTGACGTCTAAGGAAGTTGGTGCCTAGCTATGGGCATTGGGGCAGCACCCGGTGACCGAGCTCACACGGCTGTTGAAGGTCCTGTGCCCGCTACTTGCGCGCACCAGTTTTACGTCCCCCACTGGGCCGCTTGACAATGGCCGCCAAACAACTTGTGTGTTTGCGTGTGTTTCTGGCTGGCGACCATATATGCGCCCATCGTACCTGGCCGTTAATAGGGCGCCACTAGTGTAAATGGCAGAATTTTGGTATGCGGGATGCCTATACGGCGTCCTGCGCATTCCCCTAAACCCCAAACCTACACCCGCGGGATTGGTGGAATCGCACACGTGGCGTCCCGCGCCCCTTTCTTCCACTCCAGAGGTCGGGTCGGATTTAACGTATGCCGACCGTATATGTGTGGCCGTATATTTGTAGGTGGCGCGATATCAGGGGGAGTTGCTGATGTCAGTTTTCAGGGAGATTATTGGGGTGGTGGCCGATCCCACAGCCGAATCTTCCACCCGCCTGGACCTGTGCGGTTTATGTGATCTGGCGCGTCGCCAGGGTTCGCTGACGCGGCGCCCCCATGTGCGCGTTTGCCGCGACTAGTGGCCCACGCCGCATCTCAAGCGCCCCCTCGCCAACGCTTGGATCCAAGGACGCGGTTGACGGGCTGCGCACACTCCGCCCGAAATATCACGCGCCAACTGGCCACGGGGGCCCAAATGTATCTCACTGGGCCCGTGTCGGCACGCGATTGTGCCCACCGCCTGGCCCATCTGCGGCCCCCCGCGCACACACTCACCCACATGTGCCACGTCCATGCACTCCTGCCACGTTCTCTCTCGATCCATTCCCCCAACCCCGGGGCCCCACGAGGCATGCGCTGCCCGGAACGCGACCGGCACCCGAACGCCCTCCCGTCACCGCCCCCGGCCGTCCCCCTCCCCCGGCGCCTCTCCGAGACACACCGAAAAGCGCCGCGGAAGATCCTCGCAGTAGGCCTCCGGAGTCATACCCTGAGGCCCCCCAATGCCGCAAAGGGCTGCAGACATGCCGCACGCGGGTGCCCACGCGGGCATTGATTCGGACGGGAGCGGATCTCCGCATGATGGCGTGGCCAGCGCCGCGCAGGTGCTGCAGGCGGAGGCGCGGCTGGTGGCGTGGCTGGGCGTGGAGCGGCGCGAGGGGCCCGCGCTGCTGCGCGCGCTGGGCGGCGCGCTGTCCGCCACGCTGGGGCCGTTCTTCATAAGCAACGTGGTGCCGGTGTGGGAACAGGTGGAGCTGGTCACGAGGTGGGCGGTGCCCGGCGGCTGGGGTTGCGGGCGGGCGGGCCGGGGGCGGGGCCCGGCACTGTGGAAGAGCTGGTTGGCGTGTGTGCGTTTGCTATGTGTGGAATTCGATGTTGGTGCGGAATGGGCGGTCAGGGTGACATCTTGGACGCGGGGAGGATTGGACTCGAGGGCGGGGAAAGGGAGGGGGGGATTGGGCGTGCTCGGCGCGCAGACAAGGGAGGGTGGGAGGTTAGGCCTGTCGGTGCCCGCGACTGCCGTGTTGGCGAGAGGGAGAGCGCACCGCACGCTGCGCGGGCGTTCGTGGGCATGAATATGGCGGCGGGCATTTCCATGCCTTCCCATGCTTGGGAGAATATCCCGGCGCAATCCGAGCATCTGGGTGCGGGCGCAGCGTCGCGGCCGTTGAGGTGGTCTGGGCGCCGGGTGAGGCTGCGGGTCCGCTGTGGCGCAGGGGCGTGCTGGGACCACCGCAGGCCTCGAGGGCCATCTTGCGGGGCATGGCGATGCGGCTGGCCGCGGCGGACAGGCCCGAGTTCAACCTGCAGTTGCAGATAGGCAACCTGCCATATACCCCGCCGCCGAGGGCCCGGGAGGAGGAGCGCGCGGACGACTGGCCAGAGTCGCCCCCGCCGCCCGTGGGGCTCATGCTGTACCACACTATCGTCACCGCCATCACCGCCACGCTCCTGACGGACATCATGGGCGCGAAGGGGTTCTGGAGCGGGGTGCGCGCGCCCGAGATTGTGCTCATGCTGGCGCTGACCGTGGCCATGGTGTGGAGCTTCGCCGTGCTGATGGGCCTGCTGGGCTTCCGGGCTGTCCCGCTGTCGAAGCTGATGTGGGGGCGCCTGCCGCAGGTCTTCGCCCTGCACGTGGCCATCAGCATGAAACTCAGCAACCCCAGCTTCCCGGTGTCGGCGGGCATATCCCTGCTATCCCTCGGCAGCTTCTTCATAGGGCTGTTCAACAAGCAGCCCGAGGGCGTCCACATCGTGGTGGACGCCCTGCTGCTGCTGGTGCTGCTCGCGGCCTGGCCCGGCCTCTCAACAGCGAATCTCAGCCGGCCGCTGACGGAATGCAGCAGCCTTGGCCAGCTGTGCGTGAGGCTGGGTTTCGGGGCGACGTTGGGGTGCCTCACTGTGGTCTTCGGTCTGCAGTGGACAGTGAGCACCATGGCCCCCAAGTTGCTTCCACTGCCACGCTGCCACCTGGAGTGGGAACTCTGATTGGCACGCTGCTGCTGATGGGGTTTCAGAGTGTGTTGATTGTTCAAGATTTTCTTTTGTGCGTGCGTGTGTGGACATGTCCGAAAGCTGCATGTAAGTGACCGGTTGGTGGTATGGCCACCTTGCAGAACTGGAATGTGCCATTTGGTACAGTTTGGCCAGTTGTTTTGGGGCAGTTTGTGAGCAGCCTTCCTGGCTCATGCCAACAGTGACTCGGATTCTTGGCTTCGGGATCCAAAGGCAAACCCCCAGGTGCTTAGGTTGTGGATCAAAGGAAATGTACCGTCGGTCTCTCAATTCTGCGGAAGGGCAAGGACATTTGCTTGTGGCCAGTCCACAACCAATGCTGACAGTGGTTATTTGTCAATGTGTCAATGCCTGCAGCATCTGCTGGGTTATTGCCAGGGACACATACAACTGATACACTGCAAATAGATGCCTGAATCAGTTCTCGTAGGCGGAGAATGACTGCATTGTAATAGAATTGGTCAACAGACAGCCAAGCTTGCCCGTGGGTCACTTTGTGTTCCTAACAGCCATGCTGTTGGCACATTCAGCTCTGTTAAATTTTGGATTGGTGCATCTGTAGGGGACAATGACAAGAGCAAGGGGCTCGCCCACAAAGAATGCACCGTGTTGAACAATAACATGGAAGTGGTGGCTGTGAAGCAGCCACAAGTGACAGAAGAGAAGTCCCATATGCTACTCTGAGCATAATGCTGGCAATCTTTCCGTTGACTAGTTGGTCAAATGGGTATGATTTCCGAACACTGATTGTGGCAATGGTCGAAGAGATTGCTGTGAAACCTTGGAGAATCGGCTACCAAGCTCACCAGAAGGGTGTGTTCACCGATGTCCAAGCTGCTGCATTGCTGTAGCAGCAATGCTCGCCATTGCCAAGCAGTGAACATTTTCCCACTCTGGGTGCACACCAACTGAACAGCGGGCTGAAGGCCATCAACCCGTTGGGGAAGCTGAGAGCCTGCATACTCTTCTGCCCTCAATGTTCCTCCCAACTGCAGGCTGTGTGCTGACACAGGGACGTTTTGAATCCCCAGACCTGAAGCATATATGCTCGCTCTCACCCACATCGCTTGAATCCGATTCGTGAAGGACCGACTGCTTGGGTAGGCTCGCACCCATCGATTCTTTGCCCATTTCTGAACTGCTGCCTGCCATCGTGAGCTCTTCAATTCAGCAAGAGCATGCATTGCTCGAGTCTCTTTTCTTGCCGAGCGACCGAAATGACATGACCAGTTTGTTAATGGGTTTTCTGACAAAGTTGCAGTGGGCAACTCCTTGGCCTTCAGTCGCTCGAGCTGCATGCGGATCCTCCGGACCGCACCTGCAGGGGTCATCAGTGGTGGAGCGGCCTGGAGGGGAGTCACCCCACAATGGGTAGTTCCAGCAAGGCTTTGAGGTCCCCTGCAGTTGGGGTCGGTGGCGCTTGGTAGGTGACATATGTGAGCCAGTTTGAAAGGCTCCTCGGGGCTCGAATGCACTTCTTTGCTGTCACTTTGTGATTCTGATTCTGCTCCTCCTTGGCTGTCAAACCGTGCATTGCTAGCTCCCAGTTCGTGCTGATTTTCCAACCACTTGGGGAGAGGATGTCAATTTCGGAGTGGACGCTGATACACCATACGCTGTGCACAAGTACAATTGGGTATGGTGGTGTTGTAGCGGACTTGGGCATGTGCATTGACTCTGTGATGGCAATGTTCTGTCGATGCCAGGGCCCATTCCCATGCGCGTTTCCTTTTGTTGTCCTTGAGCATGGAAAGAGAAGTCCCCTTGAAATGTTGCAACGAACATTCAACATTCGTTGCTGCATTGACAGGAGTGCATCATTGCTACACGTGGGTGAGCAAACGTTTTTGGGCGCACGCTGTAAGTGCTCTATTTTGTGGGTGCTTTCGAGCACACATCAATGGGTCTTGATGAAATATTTCTGACCTTCTTGCTGGAAGATGTGAAGCTAGCTGGGAGGGTGTTGTCCATCACTCTGACAAGCCCACGCTCAATGTTGCTTGTAGCTGGGGGACCTGCGCCTTATATCCCATAGGCTCGCTCATGCTCGGGTTGCAACGCCTCTCCTGTTGACGCCAACATTGGATATACCACATATGTTTTTGCGAGTTGTGACTCACTGCTAACCCGAGTCAGAAGTGCATGACGGCTACCATAAATGTAAGTCATAAGTAAAATGGAACTATGACTTCAGTGCATAAACTCAGTGTCAGCAAACAGACACCTCTTATCATATTGGTTCATTCTGGCTTGGGACGTAGGGCCTCTCTTTCATGGCCTAGTTTCTGCTTTGTAAGGGGGTGAGACTAGGCCTTAATGGCTTTCAGACATTGCCATTTGACCCGCTCTTTTGCGCCTGAAATTCATCTCGAACGACGAGCCGGGAATGCAGTACTTGCCATTCATACTATTGACGAACGCATAGCCATGTGGCTGTGAGTTCTTCAATAGTTCAGCATGCATGTGTCATGGGTTTCTGCATAGCTTGGGTTAGATGATTTCTAAGTGCGCTGCGTGTGTGGCATGTAGCTTGGGCATTTTGAGGGGCCCACTTTGAATTTGAGTGTATTGATAATCCACCCTCTCAATGACATATTAATTGCTCAACAAGGAGGGCGCCTGTGACTTGGTTTGATTGCGGACGTGGAACTTTTCAGAAAGGATGATGAAATGAAACGAAGTGGCGTTTAGGAGCGCTCGGTGCATCGTGCAGTTGAGACGTCGCGATTCATGTACGCGAAGTTGCATGGTGACCAATGTTTCACTGGGTGCGTCATTGATTCCCGAACTGGGAACGGTGTGCTGGAAACCCGGAATGACGAATGGTCATTCAGAAGAGGAAAACCTATGTTATGCATATGGCATCTAGTAGACCTTGAAATGTCAACACTCGTGTTTTGTCTGCTCCAAGACAAGTCAATGCTTGGGTTTTGAAATATTCCTGTGTGCAATACGTTAAGTAATTCTGGCGCCAAGAGCTGGTGTCAATTTATAGTCACGCTGTCCCCCGAATGGGGATGCAACCCAGGACATGTGTGTTCTCTTCAAAAGGAGGTTGTTTCGAAATGGTGACTTGAGTGGTGAAATTTGTATGCCAGGCTGGCATACAAGAAAGCTGGCATTGCCAGCCTTCTTCAGCTGTGGCAAACCTTGCTGTGCGAGTGCGCGATGTGTATTCCAAGACATCTGTTTGCATGTTCGATAGGAAAGAAATATTTGATTATGATGTTCTTCAACTTTTGGGGTGCATGGACCATGTTTCACGGTGGACTCCTTCCAATATGGGCATGAGCTCCTTCTGAAGCTCATGCACAACCTGGACAAGATCAACTATGCACTGCACATAGGACTGGCATTGTACCATTGCCGTATACTAGTATGATGACAATTCTTGTTCGGTCATGTGCCCGCCATTAATGGCCAGTATTAGACCAATTTCCCCTTGGCGTTACTCTTGTCCTGTTTGGGATTTTGCCCCAAGCATTATGGAGGCTTGAAGTGTCCTGTTTGCAGCTTATTTGTGCGCTAAATTATGAGTGTGATATATTCATAGTTCAGAATTTTTCTTTTTATTTGATGGGGAATGTGTCCAAGGATCTTGAAGACGTTAATAGGCTTGCACGGGCTTGTGCAGTGGCCCCTTGTGGGGCCGGAATGGGTCTCAAGTAAAGCACCTTGTGTTGGAACGATAAGGACTATGGTTGATTCGGAGGCGGGCATATGCCCAACTTGGCAGATCAACCGCATAACAATTGTTGTGTCTTTAGTGTTCCCATCTCTTCTTGATCACCAACAATCAAGTCGAATTTTTGCAAGCCACTGGTGTGCTGCGTTTCCCGTGCTATGGCGCCTTGGCTCCTGGGTGCTCACTTAAAGCTGCACAATGGCTGCCACGTTTTAGTGATGTGTGTCGGTTTTTGAGATAGCTATTTCAATATATTTCTGAAGTAGGAGTACAGAAATTAGGGATACACCCCTGGGGTAGGAATTTAGACATTCACTACACCATACTCATTCATATTTATAATTGGCTGCCTTTGTAATGATCAACGCTGCTGTGATAAAGCCAATGAATATTGGAACGCATGTTGGGGACTCAATTGGCACATCCCTTTGTTGTTGCCAAAGATAACTCGGTTGATAGTGGGGCTCACATTGGCTATGTGCAGGATGAGCGAGGTGTGCCACTGGGGCATACATCAGATATATGGTCATACTAGTATTAATTATTTGCTTCCATTGATCAAGTTGCTCATTACCACATGTTATATTTGTTGTTAGTCATGAAGCCATGTCACCCAATGATTGGCTTATGACTAGCACATGGTGACTGACTGGGTGCCACAACACCATAAACTAATCAGCATTGACATGGACAACCGCACAAAAGAAGCGAGAAAAGCACGCGGATAGACTTGCCTTAATCTAAGATAGCGGCAAGCTAGGTAGAACACGTCCTGAGAAAAACAAAAAGAAAGATATATTTCTAAGGGTAATAATGGACAGTTATAACCCTAAAACGCTGGCCAAATCAATTAATAAGTAGGATGTGGAGGCAGGGATATGATTGGCATCATTCACACTATGAAATTGGGCACTTATGTACCATTAGATTTGTGAAAGCCCAAAAAACTGGGGAAATGTCACCAAAATTTGGCCAAAATATAGCATGTTTTGCTGCAAAAATGGGGACATTCGAGCCACAATTTATTACCCTAAGGTTAAGAAGTTGTTCTATCAGTTATCAAAGATCAGCAATCTTATAAATGGATGCCTGGCATCCTATGGGCAGTGAATGTTTATTATCAAACCCCACAACAACTGGCTTACACATGCATTGGCAGTGCTATTAAGGTCCAGCCACGACTAACTTTTACAGGCTAAGTGGGTTATCAGCCGGCATTTGTTCACTTTGACACCAGAGCAACTGGTACCGCTTATATTAATCTACCTTGTTGTCGTCAGCTGGGTCT